TTTTGTAACCAGTTCAACGCAGATTCGGAATAAGAACCTNGTTGTGCGGTTCTCGCAGATAGCCGGTTCCTCTGGAAACTTAGGGTTTTCCCGAAGTTTCCTTTTTTATGATTTATTGACAGTAGGGTGAAATCGACTCCCACAACGAACCTGAACCTGAGGACTTAAAATCCTTAGTAAATTTAGTAGTCTTGAAAACTTCCGAACGAATCCAGACTTATGTGAATCTACCCTTAATGGCCTTAAAAGCTCTTTGGAAAGAATTTAGATCCCTAAAGATCTTAATCTAATCTCGAAGATCCAGGAACTCATTCATGATAATATCACGACCAATCACAATCGAAATCACTGAGACCTCTAAGGTCACAAGGTCAGCTGTTAACAAGATCCGCGATCTGATTCCGGAAAGATTACATGAATCCCATACTTAAAAAGTCACAGTACATGACTCGGGTTTACACTTCGAATTCAAAAAAATCCAGGTCCCTACGAACCTGGGTCTAAGGTCTTAAAATCCTTCAGACTAATTCAGGTCCCTGTAAACCTGAACCTAAGGTCTTAAAATCCTTCGAACGAATTCAGGTCTCTGTGAACCTGAACTTAAGGTCTTAAAATCCTTCGAACGAATTCAGGTCCCCGTAAACCTGAACCTAAGGTCTTAAAATCCTTCGAACGAATTCAGGTCTCCGTAAACCTGAACCTAAGGTCTTAAAATCCTTCAAACGAATTCAGGTCTCCGTGAACCTGAACATAAGGTCTTAAAATCCTTCAGACTAATTCAGGTCCCCGTAAACCTAAACCTAAGGTCTTAAGATCCTTAGTAACCACTAAGGTCTTAAAATCCTTTAAACAAGCTAATTCAGGTTTCCACAAACCTAAACCTAAGGTCTTAAAATCCTTAGTAACCTCAAAGGTCTTAAAACCCTTCGAAAACAAATTCAGGTTCCCAAAGAACCTCAATCTAAGGTCTTAAAACCCTTAACAAAATTCAAGGTCTTAAAATCCTTCGAAAAAAAATTCAGATTCCCAAAGAACCTCAATCTAAGGTCTTAAAACCCTTAACAAAATTCAAGGTCTTAAAATCCTTCGAAAACAAATTCAGGTTCCTAAAGAACCTCAATCTAAGGTCTTAAAACCCTTATCAAAACTCAAGGTCTTAAAATCCTTCGAAAACAAATTCAGGTTCCCAAAGAACATCTAAGGTCTTAAAACCCTTATCAAAACTCAAGGTCTTAAAATCCTTCGAAAACAAATCCTGGTTCCCAAAGAACCTCAATCAAAGGTCTTAAAACCTTAACCAAACTCAAGGTCTTAAAATCCATCCAAAAAAAAAAAAAATCAGGTTCCCAAAAACCTCAACCTAAGGTCGCAGAACCCTTAGCTGCATTTGAGATCTAAAAGATATCCCAAGTAAATTCAGGTCCCAGAAACCCATTCTCGGGACCTCTCGCTAAAAGGCTACGGGACCTGTTATCAACAGGCTCCCCGACCTTCACCCGAAAGTTTCCTAGACCTCATGTCTAACGACTACGGGACCTGTTACTAACAGGACCCAGAATCCTTCGTTCAAGGAAGTAAAAACTTCTACTTAGACGATCGAGTCCGTATTAAGGAATTCATCAAAACATCGACGAAGATCGAAGATCCTAACAAAGCAAGGGTTTAAAAGCCTCCTCAGGCCACAAGTCTTAACAAAGATAAAAAGAAAGCCCATTGGGCAGAAGTCTTGGGAACACGAAGACATAATCGCTATCTCAACAAAGAGATAGAGATCAGGCGGTTGAGCTTTAGCTTCCGAGAAAAGAGGTCTCATCTCGAAAGCTGGGGGCAACTGTTGNCCACAAGTCTTAACAAAGATAAAAAGAAAGCCCATTGGGCAGAAGTCTTGGGAACACGAAGACATAATCGCTATCTCAACAAAGAGATAGAGATCAGGCGGTTGAGCTTTAGCTTCCGAGAAAAGAGGTCTCATCTCGAAAGCTGGGGGCAACTGTTGGGCCCAAATATGGCCCGCTAGCTGAGACTAATGGGCTCGAGTGATAAGATTTGACTATGGGCCACTGTAAGCCCATTGGCAATTAATCTTTTGAGAAAAGAGTTAAAAACAAGCCGGAGGCTGTTTGCTAAGGAAGGGACGTCAACAAAACAGGTAACGGAGGAGAGCTCCGAACCTCATTTAGAAAGAGCTAACAGGAGTAGCTCAGGCTGGTTGCACAGGACCCGGTCAAAAGGAGGCTGTTGAGAATCCCCCAACTCACGGAGCAAATCTCGGAGGCTGGTTAGGGTCGTTCAAACGTGGCTGAGAGCTATTTAAGGGAGGAGGAGATCGGAGAAAAGGATCCTCTCTCTCGACTCATCTTTATACCTAAAGACTTAAACACTTTTCCTTCATTGTAATCATCTCAATTCATCTTTGTACTTCTGATCATCATGTTCATCTTTGTAAACTCATTTTCTTATCAAAATCAATATAAACAAACGTATTCATTCATACAAGTTGTAACGGGATTCAGCCCACGATTGTCTTTTCCCCAATCTAAACCTAACCTAAACTAGAGAGTGAGTTTTACCCCTCACAGTTAACCAGTTTTAGTTAAGTTAGGCGGAATTAATGGTCGGAATGGTCCGTTGAAAGTGATCTTTCCACTCTCCAGGGAGCGGAAAGCGTTTAAGATTAGGGCTGCGCCTTGTGAAGGCTGCCTACGTACCCTTTTGAGGGGATCAAGCCTTTCGTAGTTCGTTTCGGAGTTAAGGTTCGTATGACCTGTTTCCTAGCAAGACCTTTACGGTCTAGTTATATGTTGTGTAGGAATTATCGAGCATATTGNCCACTCTCCAGGGAGCGGAAAGCGTTTAAGATTAGGGCTGCGCCTTGTGAAGGCTGCCTACGTACCCTTTTGAGGGGATCAAGCCTTTCGTAGTTCGTTTCGGAGTTAAGGTTCGTATGACCTGTTTCCTAGCAAGACCTTTACGGTCTAGTTATATGTTGTGTAGGAATTATCGAGCATATTGATGTCGATGGCATCTAGACCTTTGCCAGCCTTGAGACTAGCCTCGTAGGCCGTTTGGTCTGCCGAGCGTGGCCGTTATAGTTTTCGGACTGGCCGTGTGCGGTTCTGAGTCCATGCCGCTTTTGCGGCTTTATTAAAAATCAGTTTGCGTTTTTAAGAGCGTGTTTTTATTCGTATGAATGTAGCGGGAAGATTATGAGTTGATATTGAGGGAGGTCCGCGAGTTGTCGTCTCACATTCCTTTTCCCTTAGTGTATCGCCTTGTTCGTTTACTCGTTTTAGGATGTTTAGTAAATCGAGTGAGTGTTTAGATATAGACGAAGAGACATGCCTTTAGGATCTCAATTCATGCCTTGAGACGTTAGCGACCAGTGTGCTGGGTTTAGGGCAAGACCTAGGTTTACTTTCGGATTGAGGCTATGCGATGACTAGTCGGCTTTCGTTTTGCCTATTGCGATTTTAACTTGATTCCATACCGATTTAGAATCCGCGATAGGTTCTCGGCTTATACAATTCGTCTGGTTGGAACCGAGCATCTCAACGGAACAATTTCTAAGTTGCCCGGAAGTGCTGACCAAAAGTTTGGATTTCTTTTATAGCGCTATTACCCTTGTGTCGGGTGTTCGAGAGCTATCTCTGCGAGATAACTTAAGTTTGTTTAGGACTGTTGCGAGTTTGTTGTGATCAGCAACAAACCTTTTAGGTGATAGATGTTCACGTTGTTTTTGCCTTCGCGAAGGATACGTAGGTTAAGAAGTTTTGCGTAATTTTATAGTCGCGGACGGACTGTTAGGTCTTCCAAGAAAATGACTTTATCGAGGAAGGTATTTGTGTCAAAAAACTAATCTCCGGGCGTCTGCGACGTCTCGCAGTGCCGAAAGTTGGTTTTTTTTCTTTATATGCTGCGTTTCTTGTTCGGAACGTTTGCGGGCTTGAAGATGTTGTGCGGTGTTGCGAGGGTTTTGTTTTAACCCTGCTTTGCAGGAACACTTTGGTTCGTTTGCGGATATTTGCAATTAAAACTTACATTCCTGTTTCGATGTTAGGTAGTTTTACGATTTGTGCTAGAGCAATTAGGACCGAGAGGTCGCGTAAGTTGTTTCCCCGAAACGAAGCGTTTTTCGTTACGGTGCTTTGTGAAGTGTTGACCTTCCGAGATTCGTACGGCTTTAGGAGCTCTGGTACGAGTGTTTTCTTATACGTCGGATTTTGTAGGCAACTTGCTTCGGAAATAGAGTGAATCGCGAGAATACAGAACTTAGCCGATTTTCGACAAGTTTGCATTATCCGTTGAACGTATTGGCCTAGCGTGAAGGTCGTGTTCAGCCGCACAGCCAAGGTCGTATTTGGTAGAGGATTAGACCACGACACTTTCGTGCTATCGAAAAGTTCGAGTCGGTTTGTAAACTTGGCATTGAAGTGAAGCGCGATCGGACAATAGCCAAGTAGCGTTTGTCGAGCTTGATATGCCAAGTATTCCCGTGGTTATTGAAAACGTTTTTCCGTTGTAAGTTTGATTTATACGATGAAACTTTCGTATAAAATTTCCTTTGTATGGAAGTTGTTTTTTTTTTTTTTACTCGAGGGAGACAGAGTCTAAGAAGCTCGTGCGGAGTTGTTTGCGGGGCGGTCTTATTCTCGGATGTAATCGGGAGGAATGAGAGCGGATGCTCATGAATCGAAGGGCTAAAGAGTGAGATCTTTCAGATCGTGTCGGGAGGAGGCAAAGTTTAGATTGTTCGCTCAGTGCCGGATCGTATAGCTTGGTTTTCGCTATAAGGAATGTACTTTTCACTACAGGAAATGTGGGTATTGATAGCATCGTAGCATAGCGTTTTTGGTATTTCTGCTATTGTATATGAACACTTGTTTTTTGTATAGCGTTTATCAACTTAAAACACTATAATTTGTTATCGCGGGAAAACGAAAAAAATTAGGCGCGTTAATTTGCTGAGTGTAAACACCCTAAGATTGCATATCCAAAATTAAATGCTATTGTATATCTGCAATTTTAATCAAAATAAAAGTTATTTTTTTCCAGGTTTTATATATTTGATTTGATTCATCAGGAACAGGGGATTCGTAAGTTAAAGTTTTAATTGTCTTTCTCCTCAGCAACAGGCTAGAGCAACAACAACAAATAGTTTGGCTTCCGACGACGATCGATCTATTTCAGCAGATTCGTGTTCAATCAAGAGCGAGTACGGAAGCACTCTCTACGACGACTCAGCGCCACACCGACGCAGCCGAGGGTCTCTCCTCCGCCAACTTCCGCGTCTCTTCAGATTACAGGTATACTTTTGGGAAATCGCAGAAAAACTAGGGCTAATAAGAATGAGGAATTAGGGATTTTGTTATTGGAGATTTTAAATGATTTTTCCAGATCTGAGGGTTTACTGAATCTGTTGTGTTTCAGTTCTGATAAGGAAGAGACAGATGCAGATGGAGGACAGTCAATGCTTGGTCTCCAAAGCTATTGGGACGTTGCTTACTCTGATGAGCTCTCTAATTTTAGGGAGCATGGCCATACCGGCGAAGTTTGGTATGTTAAGGATCCTCTACTTCTCTGGTCATTAGCTTAGTGGAAGTTTTGTTAACTTGTTTCGTTTCCTTTTTGTGATAACTTTAGGTTTGGTGATGATGTGATGGAGATTGTTACTTCTTGGACAAAAGACTTGTGCGTTGAGATTTCTAAGAAGGAGATGTCTGTTTCTGATAATGGTGAGGTGAATGATCAGGCTGACAAGTATTTGTCTAGCTGGAATGTGCTTGACCTTGGTACTGGAAATGGTTTACTTCTTCATCAGCTTGCTAAGGAGGGGTGAGCTTCTTAACAATTTTTTCATGCTCTGTTACTAATACTAAGTGTGTAGCTATGTTATGACATCCTTCGTTTTATATTAGCTGAATGACATTAGGTACGTCTGAGAAGTTAAGAAATGAGAATCATGTTGGATCAAAATAAACAAGATATAGTCATGTCTTTGTAGACTGGCTTTTTCTGCTGCTGCATAGATCTTGTGTTGACTTTCTTCTTTCACTCTTGCACCAAGTCATGTTGGCATGATGACTTTTGGAGATATGAGTCTCTACAGCCGTATCATTGATAATTTTCGTACTTCAACAGAACATTTACACACCAGCGCATGTCCATTAGAACGTTACGTTAATACTCTACTTAGTATTATTAACCTCATCATCCTTGCATTTTTTCTGGCTCAGGTTCTCTGATTTAACCGGGACTGATTATTGTCTTAGAAAAATATTCTTGACTATATTTGTTTGGTACTAGTTACTATTATTCTGTAGGGTCTGAATGTTTGGTGGCCTTGGTTTTGTTCACAGAGAGAAGATACGACTACACCTAAGAGGGATATTAAGAGAGAATCAAGAACCTTACGCTAAAGGCTCACGATTCTTACGAGCTGGGGGGCTAACTGTTGGGGTCAAAATCGGTACGACGGAATTAATAGCCAAAACTTTCCGCAAGAATACAAAATGAACAGTTTTATAAAACTCGAGAAATCGTTTTATAAAGCTCGAGAATCGTTTTATAAAGCTCGAGAATCGTTTTATAAAACTCGAGANAAAAATAAATTATCATGTATATTATAAAGTACCTAACTAAATAATTATATATATATATAGGATTTAAACCCTAAACAAATTTTTAAAAAACTTCCATCTTAAACTTAAACTCAAAATTTAATAATTTTAAAAACTTAATCTAAATTTATATATATATATATATATATATATATATATATATATATATATATATATATAGGGTTTAAACCCCTAAACATAAAATTATAAAACTTCAATCTTAAAATTAAACTCAAAATTTGACAATTTTATAAGATCTCAAATTTATATAAACCTCAAACACTTTGTTCAAAAAAAACCTTCAAACAATTAATCTTAAATCTACACCCTAAATCTAATACCCTAAACCCTAAACTTGAACCCTACATACTAAGTCATAAATCTAATCTTTTCAAACTTATAATATAAATTTTAACTTAAACTCTAAACCTATTATGTTTATCAAATCTCTGTATCACATCCAAATAAATTACCTTAAGTTCTAGACCCTAAACATGCCCTAAACCTTAACTACATATCTCAAACCCTATATTTTGAATTTCATTTTATAATAAATCTTCTACTTTAAACATTTTAATCCAACCACTCAAATATCATACATAAATACTCAACTTAAACATATAATACAAACTCTACACATACCCCTAACCCTACTTATAACTCTAAACCCTATATCATTTCAAACTCTATACAAGAAGTATTAAATCATAACATTTTAAATTTATAACGTTTATTTTATACTAAATGATGAAACTATACAAACTATACAATTTAAATAAACGAGTATATTAATAATATAACTTGAATCCCTGAACTTCTCACCACATATTTCATATTGATTTATATCTTAAAACATTAAATCTAAATTTTTAATATTTAGTCAATCACACAATTTTAAAATTTAAATAAAAATACATATTAAATAGAGATTAAAAGTTTTAAATTATGATATCAAATTATTTAAAGTTCAAATAATTTTACAGCAATTATAAAGAAAAAAGAAGATAATATTTACTTTTTTTCTGAGCCATTGATTGATTTTTCAATCAAAGGTCTAAAATCAATCTTCTATCTATCTTCACCTTTGTTTTCTATTGGTTGGACTCGGATCACTTTCTGGACCGTTAGATGATACTCAATCAACGGTTGAGATTTGTCTCCTTCTTTTCAATTATTTTCTGAGACAGATTAGTGCGTGAGAGAGAGAGAGAGGCGATGGGTAAAGAAATCGAGCAAACCTCGGCTCCTTCTCTTCCTCTTTCTCCGCCGCACAAGCCAAAAGGTTCCAATCAAACCAACAACCCAATCGATCGGCCAGCTCCCTCTGGTTTAGTCTAATCAGTCTCTTTCAACTGTCGACGAAACCGCGATGCTCGTCACCACCACCATCGCTTCTCAGATCCGTCTTAACCGGAGTCGCCACGACCACCGCCACGCTCATCATAACCACCACCGATCACTTCTCTGTCTCTCAAGCTATGCCTCTCATTCTCTCTGTGTTTTTTTGGTTCATGTTACAGTAAAGTTTTATGCTTTATATGGTTTGATTTGAAGTTAAAGTTTGTTTCTTCAATTTTTTGTTCCTTGTAAAGGTGGTAGTCGTGACCCGTGAGGAAGAGCTGGTGTTTTGCAGAGGAATTGTCTCTTTTCTTTGATCGTCTCTTTTCTTTTGTTTTGGTTTTTGATTATCAATTTGTTTCTGATTATCAATCTTATTTATTAAGATTTGAATTTCGTTTTGAATATGTCTCTGTTGGCAAGTGATTGTTTTTTTCTTTTCTTTTGAACTCCTTACTGATGTGTGTTGCTGTATGATCTCTACTTCGAATCACATCCTCAGGAAAAACTGCTTTTTGATGCTGAAGAAAATCTGGTTTTAGATTCAGCTCCTTGTCCCAATAAGTAATGGTAGGTAACCACTGAATTTGTCTCTCACCATCATTTTTATTTTCCTGAGTTCCTACTGAGTTGTTGTTGATTATTGTATTGCTTATAGAATGGATATTAATCTCTGATTTCTAAAAAGGATGTTGCTTTGTTTTTGAAAAAAAAACTACAGGCCAACAGAGAAGCTTGTGAAGGATGGTTTCATCATCAGGAAACCAACCAAGATCCAATGTCCTGAAGAAATACTGAGAGTCAAAGAAGATTGACAAGTACACGTACCAAGCATACAAGGCGACAGAGAAACTCTGATGTATGTAGCAGAGGACTCGATAGGAGGCTTAGTTTAGCTTTAGGTTAATTATGTTTTGGTTTAATGTTTTAATTTGTTTTTGGTATAATTTGTATTCTACGGTTCTACCATCACAAGCGTATTTTACTCTAGAGAATATTTTGATTTTATTATAATATTAATTTGAATGAAATTTTATTTTATAATTTTCTGTATTGTTTTCAAAATAAAATATTAAATTAAATTGTCATAAACGAGATGAAACAATTACATTTTAAAAATGCAATGAATAATTCAAATATTGCTATTGATAGAACACTACAATAGTAGTTAAAACATGCTATAATATAATTTTAAAACTGCTATAGTAAAAATGTAATAATAACATTTTTGACACGCTATTAAAAAGAATTACAATTGCATAATAAAAAAACGCTATTACTAAATTAATATCAATAGCGTTTACCAAAACCGCTATCTAATGGACCCGACCTATTATCGCGGGCGATGTTGGAGCGCTTTCTACAACGCTATGGTATCGTACGATAGCGATTTTTGGGTGCTATTAAAACCCTTATTTCTTGTAGTGTTTCGCACAACCTGTTACGTTCATTTTCGAAAGTTACTTCGTTATGACATGATCCTGACTATACGAAGGATTTCTCGCGTAAGTAACAGGTGATGCATTTAGTAAATCGGCACGACGCTTTCGGTTAACAATGTTTCCGCAGATTTTTCGAGAAACCTTTCCGCTTAGTTTTTGATTCTTCGGTGATGGTTTTTTCGGAGTCACTCGCGGAGTTTTACCGAAAGTTATTTCACCGAGATCTAGTCGAAAAATGTTTTAGGGGGTTTCTCGGACGGAATGAATCACATGACCAGCAATAGGATCAGTCGGCGAGACGGAAGGACATGTTCTCGATTGCTGCTTTGTGTTCTCGATTGCTGCTTTGTGTTCTCGATTTTTCTTTTTGCCGCAAATGTTCTTGATATTATTCCGTGACTCACTTGGTTCGACGGAGAATAAGATCAGTGCTTTGACACCTAAAGATTTCTCGGATAATTTTTTTTGACTCTTATACTTGTTTTATTAAGTTCGAGAAGATCTTTATGACTTCGGCAAATCATCGAGTTCCGCTCTGAAGTTTCGCAGAGATTTTCTAACCGCATGATTGCGACGAGAGATGCTGTATATTCCTCGAGATTATTTCCCAGACGCTTTAGGTCAGTCTTTAGCGCTTAGACGTTTTTAGATTGTCGTTTGCTTTTGGGATGATTTCGACGAGGCTTTGCGTCGTCCGAATATTTTTCTGCTTATTTTAGAAAGCGTTTTCTTGATGCAAGGAAAAATGTTCGGCGAAAGAAGAAAGATGAGTTTCCTTTGAAAGATTGGGATGATCGACAATCCGGGTCGATTTAAGACCATGGTGGATCGGTGATGACTTGGAGTATGTCTGGTTTACGAAAATTTCTAGGAGCGAGTCGGTTTTAAGACGACGTCAGCGTTTCTAGCTCCTTCTTTCTTTTACGAAATGAGCACGTTCGAATGCGTGGCGATCGTTTCTTGGTTGTACGAGAGATTGGATCGGTTTGCGAGTTATGCCTGAATGGTTAGAGAACAACAAATCGAGATAGACAAAAATTTCTTACGACTTAGCATGCTAGACTATCCTCTAAATTCTAATTCTCTAGGTTTCACGGCAGTTTACAAGACGTTTTCGTTTCTTACCTACGAGAAATTAGAAGTCTAATAAAATTTTCAAATCGGACAGACCTTAGTTTCATCGATGATTTGTGATCGTCTATTCTTCGTTCTTCGTCTTTTGACCTACCGGTCTTCGACGGATTACCAGCGAGAGTATCGGAGCGGGGAGAAGACTTAACCATCGGAGCTCGTGTTCTTGTTTCTTCGTACTTCTGGTTTTATTTGACCGACTAGGTGCGCTTTGTATATCGAAAAAAATCAATCACGTGTTTATGATTGGATGTTTTCGACTTAGAGTGGCAGAGTTTCGTAAAACCGGATTAGGTTTAGAGAG